TTTGTGATTTATTAATTTTTATGTATATAATAGGAAAATTTATGATACAGAAATGCATTTATAGTATATAAATTCTCACACAATTATTCTCAAACATTCTCTCATTTGAATTGAAATTTAGAGGTCCAATAAGAATTGATATAAATACAAAAATTTTAAGTACTTAATATGGACAATTCTAATTTACAGTGCTATACTTAATTGCTATAATTAGAAGTTAATATTTTTAAGCAATAATATATTGCATTAATTTACTTTTAGAGAAAACTGACTGGTACATTTATAGATCATTACTTTTCTTCGTAAATAATTAAAAAATATAATTAATTTCTATATCCAAAAGATTCTTTATATAGTTTTGCAAGAATTCATTTGAATTTATAAATATATATAATATGAAAAAATATTTTTTGTTTTGGAAATGTTCACCATAGCGTGAGAATCTTTTTTATATGCTATAATTACGATTTTTGCACAAATTTAAGTATATTTTAGGTTCTACACGTTAGTGGACAAATTGACATAATGTGTCATGAATTTCAAAATATTTCTATAAAGAGTACTTCTTTTCATGAATCGACCGTATCTTTATTTAAAATGTTGATCGAGAGACACAATAGGATTGTTTTATTTTCTAAAAACCTTGAAAAACTTGTTTCATTTATGGAATTGGCGGAAGTTTTTTGGACTACGATACTTATTTGTTGTCTAGGACTTTGTATTGTAATTGTAAGTTCCGCAATAAAAATGCATTAATTGATATCATATAGATAAAATCGCAGGTCTAAATAAACGAGCTCAATTAGATTGCAATAAAAAATATAGAACTTTATTATATAATATCAAATCTTATTTGGAATTTATATTATGTAATATTCACTGTACGTTTACTTAACTTACAAGGGAACACAACCAACTGGGTCTCTCCGATTTAAATGAGCTTTTAGTATGTTGTTCTGCTCATAAAAATTAGAGACACGTATTTTTTTATATGTGCTGAGTCGCATGTTAAGGAGGTGAAATCATCTCTTGTAAAAAATCGATTTCTTTCTTTAAAACAACAGACTAAAAGCTCATTTAAATCAGAGAGACCCAATTGGATATGTTCCTTTGTTCGTCACCCTCAACCATGTACAGTAGTTAGTAGACTTTATTATATAATATTCACGGTACATTTCGACTAAGTTAAGTCGAAACGTACCGTGAATATTATGTATAAAGTTTTATAAGTTAAGTATTTATTTTGTATTGTAATCTAATTGAGCTTGTTTATTTATATATATAGATCTGGAATTTTATCTATTGATTTTTTACTTTACATTACACAATTAAGAAACTTATATCTCATATCTTATTTAATATTTGAAATCATATATTACATCATTCTTTTCTATTTTATTGTTTATCGAATTAGGCTATTCACAACAAAACGGGTGCTTTGGTGTTAACAAAAACAGTTCTTGCTCTTCTTGTCACAATGTGTCAGATTTTCATCATTTGCTTTGCTGGAGAACATCTTAATTTCAAAGTAAGTATTTATAATATTGGGAACGCTTCGATTGCTTACAGCTTTATTTACAGACATGGTATCTTACACACGGCGATATTGCACAGCACATTTCATACACAATGATATTGCACACAGCAAAGTCACGTTATTTGATCAAAAATCAAATTGAGCTTGTGCAATTCGATTTTTTAAATGACGTGGCTTTAGCATTCACCATATATTTGGATAACTCCTTATTATCCTGTATATAATGTGTTGTCTACAAACGTATCGTGTACGCAATGCGCAGTGTGTTACATTGTTGTGTGTGCAATGAGCTGCACGTAACATTGTCATGTGTAAAATGACCTCTGGTGGCGGGTCGCCACAATACATTTCACTTATTAAAACAAACAAATATTTTATTATTTCCACTTATTCCCTTCTTAGTAAATTTAAACGGTATTGCATGTCTGAAAAAGAACCAGTACGTTTCAGCTAATAATTGTGGTTATTCACAAAAAGTTCCATCTCTACCAATAACGACCTTGATCATATATCACACTATCGCCAAAAATCGCTTATAATATGTACATACCAGTGTTCGGCACTCGATGCACATTTCGGGCCAATTCCTGTGAACCTTCACTGCACTGCTGTTCGAGTTTCATCGATCGCGTCGCACGAAATGTGCATCTAGTGCCGACCACTGGTACATATGGTATACTATATAGTAAGGCTCATCTTATAAATGTTATTATTATTATTATTATTGTTATTTAAACAGGTTGTGTAATGGCTTGTGACGTCAGTATTCAAATAAAAAAATTTGATTTTTAAAATTACTTTGAAACAATTTAGTTATACACAAATTGTGATTTGTTTCATTACACGAGAAACTGAGACTAGTCATTGTAACAGTTTAGAAATAATCATTTAAAAAAAAGTAACAATGTGTAATGTGTAAGATTTTAAAACACTTTTCACTATAATAAGTTATTTATAAAATAAATAATTTGTGTCAAATAATTTTTGCAACTTTGTTATACGCACGCGCGCGCGCGCACACACACACACACACACACACATATGTAGAAATAAATAATTTTACGTATATTGTTATTATCATATTACCTTATATACATTTAAACTTAAAAAGATTTTTTATAGTCGGATGTTTTTGATGTTTATGCTTTTTTAGACAATTAGTATTTCTTCTATGTACGATCATATGACGTTGTGAGTATACTTTTTTTTCAAACTATTTCAAATATTTCTAATATTTTCTATTAAACAATTTTTTAATTCGGGATACTTTCCATAAGAATAATTCCTAGAAGCATTAAGGCATATTACTTATCATTTTAATGATGTTCTGTTATTTTGCTCTTATATTATTTCTTCGAAGACCATCAAAAGTAGAATTACATGAATGTTATTCAGTTACGTTCGCTTAGAATATTTAATACACAATTATTGTTGGCCTGCTGTGCGATTATCGTTTTTTACAATGTACAGAATGCAGCGGACGTTTGTCTCTTATTTCTAGAAATTTATTGCCCAGATATAAGTTCGCAAGGAAAGGGAACTGTCTATATTACACATCGAATCGTACATCAATTGTTCGACATATGTTTTTCTTAGTTTTCCTAGTCATTTACTACGTTATTATATTTCAATAGAAGATTACAATACGTTTATAAAAAAATTAGCTATATCCTCATTTATTATGATGCTACACAATACATAATGTTTGATCCATAT